AGCCATCAAAAAGAATGAAATCTTGCCATTTGCACCCACATGGAAAGGACTAGAGGGTATTATGCTAATGGAAATAAGTCCATCAGAGAAAGACAAATACCATATGATTTCACTCATATGTGGAATTTAAGAAACAAAACAGAGGAACATGGTGAAGGGAAGGAAAAATTAACATAAGATAAAAATAGAGAAGGAGGCAAACCATAAGAGATGTTGAACTCTAGGAAACAGGGCTGCTGGAAGGGAGGTGGGAGGGGGGAAGGGATAATTGGGTGATGGGCATTAAGGAGGGCACTTGATATAATGAGCACTGGGTGTTATACCAACTGATGAATCACTAAATTCTACCCCTGAAACTAGTAGTACAGCTTATGTTAACTAAATTGAATGTAAATAAAGAATTACAAAATAAATAAATAAACAAACAAACATGGTTTAAAGCAAAAAATAGTCATCGTCATCATCAGAGTCTCACAGTCCTTAGCTACCCAGTAGAGGACAACAAGCAGCCATTCTCACCCCGAGTCAATCCGGACTTAACTCTGAACTATTTCCATATCATTTACAACATATCTATTCTTTCTGCTTCTGATGCATTTTGCTGCTAACTTGAATTCTAGAAAATTGTTTGTTTTGATTAAAAACAACGATGAGGGGCGCCTGGGTGGCTCAGTCGCTAGGTGTCTGCCTTTGACTCAGGTCATGATCCCAGGGTCCTGGGATCGAGCCCTGCGTCGGGCTCCCGCCTGCTCCGCGGGAAGCCTGCTTCTCCCTCTCCCACTCCCCCTGCTTGTGTTCCCTCTCTCGCTCTGTCTCTCTCTCTGTCAAATAGATAAATAAAATCTTTAAAAAAAAATAAAAATAAATAAATTTTTTTTAAAAAACGACGATGAATGAACAACTAAGAGATTCTGGACTAAACACATTCTATTTGACAATTTAGGTCATACTTTCCTACTGGCCAAGTTATAATTTAGTTTCATAGATGGGCATTGACTCTTTCAGACTTAGAGGTACATGGGACATCGGCCCATCTATGCTGTGATGAGAGGTGGGGCTTTTACTGGTAACCAAGGGGTAAGGGTTGGAGCCTCAGTGCTCATGTGTTTTCATGTGAATATGTAATTGGGAGCAGCGGGAGGATTACTGGACATATTGCTTATTCTTGGGAGAACATGTTAACTGAGGCTAATATCTCACTTCTGCTTAAAATCCCTCAAAATGTCTTCAATGAGCATGGAATACATTAAGAATAAGAAAAAAACAACCAAGGAACTATTTTTTAAAAATATCTTTTACTGGCTCCTCATGGCCTATAGGATGAACTACAAGTGCCTGAGCATGAATCTGACCCTGACCTTTATATATATGCACTTAGAGCCTCATCTCTTGCTGTGTCCTGCCTTCAACCCTCAGCTACTGCAATGTTCATCATGTTCTTTCTTATTTCCTTCTTTTTTTTTAATTGTTATGTTGATCACCATACATTACATCATTAGTTTTTGATGTAGTGTTCCATGATTCATTGTTTGCGTATAACACCCAGTGCTCCATGCAGAACATGCCCTCTTTAATTCCCATCACCAGACTAACCCATCCCCCCACCCCCCTCCCCTCTAGAACCCTCCGTTTGTTTCTCAGAGTCCATAGTCTCTCATGGTTCATCTCCCACTCCGATTTCCCCCCTTCATTTTTCCTTTCCTGCTATCTTCTTTTTTTTTTTTAACATATAATGTATCTGTTGAATCGCAGACCTGTACCCCTGAAACAAATAATACTTATTTCCTTCTTTTTGTGTGCAATGTCTCCTCTATGCCTGATACTCTTCTATCCTCTTTCGGCTTCAAGTCCCTTATCCACACCTCACCCAACTCCAGGCTGGATCAGGGGCCTCTCTCTGCTGTGTTTCCATAAACTCTGAACATTGCACCTTCTCCCATGCATTATTGTTCTTCTGTGTCTGTTCCCCTCACTAGACTCTATCTTCAACACTAGACACATAAAAGACAACCAATGTAAGTTTGTTGGATAAAATGAGTATTTCAGGGCATACTAGAGGTTAGAAAATAATTTTAAGTAACCCAAAAACTGTAATAATCTAATGTAGTATCTATGCCCATTAGGGCATTTCTGGTAGTAATGGAAAGTAGAGGAAATGGAAGAGTAATGGAAAGTAAAGGAAAGTAGAACAATTTTGCAAATAGGTATGTATAAATGTGAACAGATTCTTTGAATTCTGCTATTAGTTTTAATAAATTATTGGAATTGTTTGTTCCTATAGTAAATTTTTGAGAGATATACCAACTGGGGCTATTTGGTGTTTAATATTTTGTTTGCTTTCTAATGCCACATCAGTGGAGAAACTGTGTACTTGCTTCGGTAAACTGATTCTGAGTGTCTTATTCCTTTATGTTCATGAGATGCACATAAGTGCACTTAATAGGGCGCCTGGTGGCTCAGTCACTTAAGTGGCCAACTCTTGCTTTCGGCTCAGGTCATGATCTCAGGGTTGTGGGATCGAGCCCCACGTGGGGCTCCATGCTCAGTAGGAGTCTGCTTCTCTCCCTCTCCCTCTGCCCCTCCCCTCCCTCACACACACACACACTCTCTCTCTCTCTCAAATAAATAAATAAATCTTTAAAAAAAATAAGTACACTTAATAGATGCTTCTTTCAGTGCTTGATAAGAATGTTATTTTACAAGTCTGAGTTTCCAGGGTAAATCCTATTTATGGTATTAGAGCTTTATTTTCGTCTAGCTAATATAATAAAGTTAAATTAGAACTATAAGTAAAACTTATAGGGGTGCCTGGGTGGCTCAGTTGGGTAAGTGTTTGACTTTTGATTTCGGCTCAGGTCATGATTTCAGGGTTTTGAGATGGAGGCCTACTGAGCATGGAGCCTGCTTAAGAGTCTCTCCCTCTCCCTCTGCCCTCTGCCCCTCCCCCCCTCCCCCGTCCAATAAATAAATAAATAAATAAATAAATAAATAAATAAAACATACATATATAAATCAGATTCAAGAATAAATAAATATAGAATATGAGACCTTAAGGTACTCTAGACCATTTAACTTCCCTTTACAGATAAGGAACTAATGCCCCCAGGGGTTAATTATCATTCCCTGAAAGCATCAGGTTAAGGATCTTACTTCAAGGTGAATGAATTTTAAAGCAAGAGGAAGTGTATTAAGACTTTACAGGTTTCGGGGCGCCTGGGTGACTCAGTCGTTGGGCGTCTGCCTTGGGCTCAGGTCATGGGGGATCGAGCCCCGCATCGGGCTCCCTGTTCCGTGGGAAGCCTGCTTCTCCCTCTCCCACTCCCCCTGCTGTTTCCTCTCTCTCTGTGTCTCTCTCTGTCAAATAAATAAAATCTTTAAAAAAAAAAAAAAAAGACTTCACGGGTTTTAAGGAAGAAACCCACCCATGCAATCTTGAGTAACGGAGCTTATTCCTGAAGTTAAAGCAGTGCCCAGAGGCTTTGCCATTGTGCCTAGCATTTCTGTTGCCCCGCTGTCCTACGCTTGCTCCTCGCATCTCTAGACAATGAGACTCCAATTGGGTCAGTGATTTGGTTACCAACCACAAAGGAGCATTCCTGCTGGGAAACCTGTGGCACAGACGTTAATATTGGATCCTATTAGTTTTAGTCAAAGTAAGACAGTTGTTTTGGGTCAATATGTAAGGCTTTGTAAACTGTATAGCGGGCTTATGCAGGAAGAATTCCCTAAACTTCAGGAAGGGAAGGAAAGCAGGACTTCAGGGAGGTGCAGGCCCTTTGTGCTTCCTGGACCTTACCAGTATGGGGAGTAAAAGACATTTGTATGTATAAATATGGAATGGGAAAGGGGAACTAAATCACAGCTAAGCTCAAATTGAGTTAGTTTGCAAATGGAAAGAGTAGTAAATGTTCTGCCCTTAAGAAACTACCCACAAATACTACGGCTTTTGGGCAAATCAACCAACACTATCAACCTCTGTTTTGCTGATGATGATGATACATATTTACCTTGCCTAGTAGTTGTGCATACCAGTGATAATGTGTGTTAAATGACCATCACTATGTAGGGGCTGCAGGTAAGGTAACTGTTATGATTATTACTACTACAAGACTGCAACTGTGCTGTAATTATTTGTACTACCCTAGTACATAAAATATTTGTACTACCCTAGTACATAAAACTACTTTTACTGCTGCGTTGTTACATGCCAGTGGTTTGTAAATGAGCGGTCTTCTCTGCTCAGACAACAGGAGGGAGGGCTTTGCAAGTGATTTGCAAGAAGGTATAGAAATTCTTTCTCGGTGTGCAATGGTTAAGATCATGGGCTTTATGGGGTTACTACGTACTTCTTAGCTGTGAGATCTTAGACAAGTTATTTAACCTTGTGTGCCTCAATGATCTCATCTGTAAAATGGGGATAATAATACCTCCTGTCACAACAAGCTCTTGTGAGGATTAAATGAGATAACCTAAGTACTGCTTAGAATACTGTCCAGCATGCAATGAACACTTAATACACGTTCTCTATTGGGCTCTTAATGTATTAAATGTGCATTGGATCCTCATAACTACCTCGTGAGATAACAGGCCTCATTATCTTTATTTCACGTTCACCGAGACTGAGGCTGTGATTTGTTGTGAGTGGCAGTGGCGGGGGTGCTGAAGGAGCTTCTCTCCCTTCTTACCTTCTTTTCTTTCCTCCCTCTCTTTGACATATATTTCTCTATTGGACTGGAATCACACACAATAATTCCTGCCTAGATGATTGGAATTTCGGACATCTGATTCCTTTTTCCTTTTCTTTCCTCTACAGCCCCACCTCCATGCTCGTGGAGCACTTACACACTTGTCTTTTGCTACTAGTCTCCAACTACTACCTGTCATTTCCAAAGTCCCAGGTTTGCATTTGAATCTTCATACTTGAGAAATCAGTGGGGTCAAGGAAACAAGAACCAGTGTTTACATAAGTGTTTATTGGACTTTTCTTTCTCATCTTTCAGGTCTTGTAGAAATTTGCCTGATGCACCCCCTCGATGTGGTGAAAACCAGGTAAGGTTCTGCATGAACAAGTCTTATTGACTTTGGCTGATATCCAAATTAAGATCTGTCAGAACACTAAATGCTAGAACTTGCCCTAGGCCGGTAGCTTCTCCCCATAATGGCATTTATATTTACTTCTGAAAGAAAATGCTATTTGACAGATAAAATGTGAACAGGGAAAAAGCATTTTTGGATAGAGGTCATCTGAAAGTATATGGTATTTTACTGCCTTCACATGACAACCATAAGGTATGATTTGTGGCGAAGCTGGTAAGCAAAGTAAATTTATTAAAATGATGCAAAAACTAAACTTTAGTGAATTATGACAGTAGACTTTCATTTGGCATTGCATGTAACAGATTGCTATTTAATAGTCAGCATTTTGGTGTGAGACTCCAAACTTTCAAGTAAACTCCTCAAATGGTGCTTAAAGAATTTATTCCTACAACTGTTTGCCAATGCAAAATGCCGTATTTCTAGGAAAATGCATTTGCTCTTACAGGGAGACACAAATCAGGGCAATGTTTTAAAACTATTTACAGAGTGAAAAAAAAATCATGTGGGTTTTAATATGATCTAGAGCATTTTTTTAAAAAGTTAAATCTGTGGCTGAATTACTAAACTCTCTATTTTCTAAAATTAGAAGCTGTTACAGTTGAGTGAAAGTTTCCATTTATTTGCCTTGTGTAAAACCCAAGAACACCATACCTGGGTTGGCGCTCCATAGCAAACAGTGCCTTACAACAATGGTGGTCAAACAAACCAAAGTTAGAAAATGCTTAAAGCATCAGGCTAATCATTGAATGGACATGTTGCTTAATTTACCTAAAGAGGCAGCAGAATCTTCAGCTGGCTGCTGAAAGCAAAGGAAAGTAGCTGTGTCATGCAAATAATATTACATTTCTAAAGGAGATAGAGGAGCTGAGAATTTGGCCCCTGTCTTAGCTCAGGCAACTGTAACAAAATACTATAGACTGGGTGGCTTAAGCAGCAGACATTTATTATTGTTCTGGAGGCTGGGAAGTCAAGGATCAAAGTAGTGGTCATTTTGGTTCTTGGTGAGGGCCAACCACCTGACTTGTAAACAGCCACCTTCTTGTTGTATCTTCACATGAGGGAAAGAGGCAGCTCTGCTGTCTCTCCCTCTACTTATAAGAGCATTGATCCCATCACTGGGGCTCCACCTCAATCTAACCTCATGACATCATCTAAACCTAACTACCTCCCCAAAGGCCCCACCTCCAAATACCATCACACTGGGGTTAGGGCTCCAATATATGAATTTGGGGGGATGCAAATGTTCAGTCCATAACAGCCTCAAATCACCAAACCCACACGGAGAAAGAAAACCACAAATTATATTCAAATGTAAAATTACATGCATTCCCTGGACCATCTTTTTATAGGGTTCAAAACAGAACGCAAAACTCACTGGCATTTCCTTCTTAGATTCCATGCTAACCTTTGAAAAGCCAGAATATTGTTGCTAGCCTCTCTAAGGAATAAACTGTCTCTCTTAAGGGTAATTTCCTAAATTAGCAAAGTGTTCGAGTGAGCATACAGGAGAAATAAGAATGATTTAAATAAGACATGATATTGAAATTACAGTTATTCATTCATTCACTTAATCATTCATTCATTCACTTATTAAGTATCTAGTGTGTGTGGGTTCCAAGCAAGCTCTGTCCTCAGGAGCTCACAGTCCGATGAGTTAATATAAATTTCAAAAACTATATTATTTCATGGTACTGGATTTGAATAGAATATTTCTTGAAATGGATGTGCCAAGTTACTGGGGCTTTATATCTTCTTTGTTACACAGATATTTTCATGAAAATGGCATTCATTGATTGGCATTAGTCACATGCTCTTGTCTAACTTCAGCAGGGAGGGAAAATATAATTCTTCCAGATGCCCTGAAGAAGAAGGGAATTGGATATGGGATTACTTTTGACCTGGTTAACAATAAAAAGCATGTTGAATAAAGACTCACAATCATAGAGTAAACGAAAGTCCAAAATAATATGCAACTGACTTTGCAACAGAAGTAGAATGTGCAAAGGTTAGGAGCATTTATCACTGGGTACTTACACACAGGTGATAGGTAGTGGTCAGGACAGACTAGATGCTGAAATCTTTTCACTATTACATTGGACAGGAGATGACTGTATTTCTAAATGAGATAAACTAAACTGTAAGAGATAATACATGAAACCATGTAACATTAGTTGTTTTAGCAGGTCACTTTCCTTAATGACATCAAGGGCACTGGATTCTAAATTGTTGCCAGCATTGTCAAAGTGGGGGACAGTGTATACCAGACCAAACCTCCCTTCCTCCACAGTTTCTTTGTGGGCTGCTTTTGCCTCCCCTTGGATATTATTGCTTGAAGGGTAGTACATTGACTGAATCTGAGTATGGAAATGGTTCATTTTCAACAATATCTCATGTGCTGAAGTATATAGCAAAATAAGTGTTTACCTCTTAGAGTTTAGTTTTTTCTTTTTGGGTTCTGTTTGTGGCCTAATTCTTTTCTTTGTTGAATGAAAGATAACAGATCCTAAAAATGCATTTCCAAAGTCATCCTTTACAGGGATCTATCTCTTTCTTTCTTTTTTAACTTTGTAAATCTTTCTTTCTTTTTTAACTTTGTAATGATCAATTCTGTTACCCCAGGCTGAGGGCAAAGGGAGGTTGTAGTATGACCTGAGCCCAAGGGTCAAGGTTACCTGGTGGAAGCTAGAACTGTAGTAGATCTGTGTAGTGGTAGCTGGAGCCCCAACCATTGCCATGTTCACTGCCCGAGGCAGACAGGGAGGGAGAAAAATCCTTTACTTTCTCCTTTCTCCCCAGTCTTGTCTCCCACCAGTGCTTCCATTTGCTTAACCATGGAAGTCAAGAAGCCCAGCCTAGCAGAGGGCAGTCTTTCTGTATAATAAAGCAGAGCAGAATGAGGGAGGAACAAGAAATGGGTCTGAAGACAAACAGAACCAGGACTGAAAAGCTGTCATTTTAGTGAGGTTTGGAGAAAGATCTGACATAAGCAAGCATTTTCTTTTCTTCCTTTTTTTTTTATTGAGATATAATTGACATATCATTATGTTAGTGTTAGGTGTACAACATAATAATTTGATATTTGTATATAGCAAAATGATCACCACAGTAAGTCTAGTTAATATCTGACACCATACATAGTTAACAATTTTTTTTCTTGTGATAAGAACTTTTAAGATCTACTCTCTTAGCAACTTGCAAATATGCAATACAGTATTATTAACTATATCACCATGCTGTGCATGACATCCCCAAGGCTTATTTATTTTATAACTGGAAGTTTGTACCTTTTGACCCCCTTCACGTATTTCACCCACCCCCCACCTCCAGGCTCTGGCAACCACCAATCTGTTCTTTTTATCTATAAATTTCATTTCTTTCTTTCTTTTTCTTTTTTTTTCTTTTTCAGATTTCACATGTAAGTGAGATCATATGGTAGTTGTTTTTCTGTCTGACTGATTTCACTTAGCATAATGCCCTCAAGGTCCATCCATGTTGTCGCAAATGGCAGAATTTCCTTCTTTTTTATGACTAAATAATATCCATTGTATATAGTGTATATTGTATATATATATGTATGTACAAAATATATACATATATATGTATGTACATACACATATATATGCCACATTTTCTTTACCCATTCATCCACTGATGGACACTTAGATTTCAAGCATGCATTTTCAACTTAGCAGTTTTAATATGCACTCACTTTGCATTTTAAAAGATGATTAGAAGTTATAATCAATAAATATTTTATGAAAGGATTTCAGGCACTGTGGCACTTGCCTTTATATAAGAAATGGTGTAGTCTGCTTCGTATAAGTGTATCTCCAGGGATAGACCTAATGTAAGCATAGGCTAGCCACATGACACCTGCCTTCTTCCAAATGTGCCCACCTTATTTTTTTTATTATTATTATTATTTTTATTATTATGTTATGTTAATCACCATACATTACATCATTAGTTTTTGATGTAGTGTTCCATGATTCATTGTTTACGTATAACACCCAGTGCTCCATTCAGTACATGCCCTCCTTAATACCCATCATCAGGCTAACCCATCCCCCCACCCCCCTCCCCTCTAGAACCCTCAGTTTGTTTTTCAGAGTCCCATCATCTCTCATGGTTCATCTCCCCCTCCAATCTCCCCCTTCATTCTTCCCTTCCTACTATCTTCTTTTTTTTAACATATAATGTATTATTTGTTTCAGAGGTACAGGTCTGTGATTTTAGCAGAGGAGATTTGGCTAAGATGCTATATACATGGCAGTTATATAGAATCAAGTTGTCCCTTGAGATTCTTCCTAGAAACATGCATATACACTCTTTTATAGTTCTTTTATAGTTTGTATACAAGAAACTTTGTATACAATTGTGGGTGGACCCTCTGGTTAAGAACACATAACTACAAATGACAAAAGACTCTATGCACTTGTATAACCGGGAAGACCAAAGGTAGTTTCTGGCTTTGTACTCCAGGGATTCAAATAAAATAATCAGTAATATCTCATATCTCTCTCATATCCTCTCTCTCTCTTTCTCCCTCTCTCCCTTCAGCTTTCCTTTTCCTATATAGGCTTCATTTGAGGGTGGGGTGCTTCTCTTACTTGGCACCAGATGGCCCCGGCAGCTTCGAGCTTACATGGGCCTTGGCATTTGTGTGTACTCTCTGAGACAGGATAACCTGGTAGTTAAGAACTCCAGCTGTAGAATTAGGCAGCCTGGGTTCAAATCCTGCTTCTTCACTTATTATCTGCGTAACATCAGGTAAGTTACTAGACTTCCCTGTGCCTAAGTTTCCCAAGCTTTAAATGGGAACAACCATGGCGTCTACATTACTGTGAGAAATAAATGAGCATATACACGTAGATGGTGTTTATATATACATAGGCTTATAAGGTGTTTTATACTATGTCAGCAAAGGAAAGGGGACTGCAGAGACAAATGGG